AGACGGCGCCAATTGATGTAACCGTTTTTGGTCACGTACCATTTTTTGTGATGTATAAAATTTTTTGGCTAAGTAACTCGTTGTTTGACCCGGTGGTGACGTGCCTTGGTGATGAGCTACTTGGTGGCGAACTCCCTGGGGGAGAACTGCTTGGTGGCGAACTACCTAGTGGCGAGCTCCCTGGTGGAGAGCTACTTGGTGATGAACTGCCGGGTGGCGAACTGCTTGGTGGCGAACTGCCTAGTGGTGCTCCCTGGTGGCGAATTGCCTGGGGGCGAACTGCCTAGTGGCGCTCCCTGGTGGTGAACTGCTTGGGGGCGAACTGCCTGGTGGCGCTCCCTGGTGGCGAACTGCCTGGTGGCGAACTGCCTGGTGGCAAACTGCCTGGTGGCGAACTGCCTGGTGGTGAACTCCCTGGTGGCGAACTGCCTGATGGCGAACTGCCTGGTGGCGATATATTTTTCTCATCATTAAATTCTTGTAATTAAATCCGCAATATTAATTTTAATAGTACAAAATTAAATATTTTGAAAACAAAACCATTTTCTTCCCTCTCGGTGGTGGGTAAGCAATGTAGGAAGTATCTTTATTAATGATGAAAACGGAATGTCAAATTCAAAAACCACCTAGAAATGAATTGATGTCACAGTCAAATAATAAAATTTTTAGTAATAGAAAATACCAAGAAACACAAAATAAAAAAAAAAGATAAAGAAAATTTTGGGCACATATCTAATGTTATATATTTATAAAAAAATAAAATATTGGGTACATCTATAATATTGTGCATTCATTATATTGAACAAAAATAAGTTTTATAAATAAGAAATAATTTTATCAATGATGAGAATGTAATACAAAAAATGTCAACCTAGAAATTAAACAATTTTTATTTTTAGATGGTGGGTTAGTGGTTTGAGTCAAATGATACCATAGACAAACAAAAATTAAGTGTGATAAGTAAAAAATATTTTATATAATATAAATGAAATATATAATTTAAAGGAAAAATTATAATCAAAGTCGATTGTACATTTAAAATTAGGTTGCAGGTTGGTCCAGAAACCAACAAAACTTTGACAATCAGCTCTACGTTTCAAATTATAAAAACCCCCGCCATGTCTAGGGGTGGCAAATGGGTGGGTTGGATTGGGTAAGGGTTGAATATCATTCCACCCATATTGACCCACCAACCCACCATGGCCCATAATCAATCCTAGTTAAAGGGTCATAACCAACCCTAACCTTAACCCACCCTAACCCATTCATATTGACCCACTTGACCCATCCATATTGACCTTTAACCACCCTCACCCATACTAACCCACTTACCCTCACCTATAAATACAAAAAAAGGGTCGGGATGACCTGTATATGCAAATAATAAATTTTGAGAGAATAATCTCTCTCAAGACTGCCACGTGATGAAAACGAGTAAGGTAAACCTGTATACCCGAAAATGCAAAAATTGTAGATAAATGCAGAAAATTGAAGAAAAATTGCAGAAATGCAAAAAAAAAAAACAAACTAGAAAATTGTAGAAAATACCAAAAATACCTAAAATTATGAAAAATACTAAAAAAATATAGAAATTTTAGAACTTTTACAGAAAAATCAGAAAATATGCAAAAAAATACCAGAAATTATAGGAAATGCATGGAAAACACCAAAAAATGCAAAAAAGCACAAAAAATTTGTAGAAGATGCAGAAAAATACCAAAAATTGCAAAAATGCAAAAAAAAAATACAAAAAAATGCAAAAAATAACAAGAAAATTGCAGAAAAGACAAAAAAATGCATAACTTTTATAAAAGTGCCTTCGCAAAAGTACTTTTATGAAAGTACTTCTACAAAAGTACTTCTATAAAAGTGCTTTGATAAAAGTACTTTCATAAAAGCACTTTTATAAAAGTGCTTTTATGAATTTATAAAAATTCTTTCGTAAAAGTACTTTTATAAAAGTGTTTTTGTAAAAGTACTTTTATAAAAGTGCTTTTATGCTTTCATAAAAGTACTTTAATAAAAATGCTTTAGTGTAAAAGTACTTTTTGTATAAGTGCTTTTTTAAAAGTGCTTTTATGCTTTCCTAAAAGTACTTTTATAAAAGTGCTTTTGTGTAAAAGTACTTTTATGCTTTCATAAAAGTGTTTTCGTAAAAGTAATTTAATAAAAGTGTTTTAATGTAAAATTACTTTTGTAAAAGTACTTTTAGGAAAGCATAAAAGCACTTTAATAAAAGTGTAAAAGTACTTTTCGTAAAAGTACTTTAATAAAAGTGCTTTCATATAAAAGTACTTTTGTAAAAGTGCTTTCATAAAAGTACTTTTATGAAAGTGCTTTATGCTTTCATAAAAGTGTTTTCATAAAAGTACTTTCATAAAGTGTTTTTGTAAAAGTACTTTCATGTAAAAGTGCTTTTATAAAAGTCTTTTATAAAATTGCATTTGTAAAAGTGCTTTTGTATAAAATTGCATGTGAACACGAAAGTTAATAAAATCCATTTTATTTCACTTTTATTGTCAAAATCAAATGTGGCATAGTGGTTTGGAAGTGTAATGAGATGTTGGCGTAATAGGAGGCTTGAATTCGTATCACTACAACTTCTAGTTTTTGTGATTTGGCGAGTATAAGTAGAGTTGACTTTGACCCATACCATCTTTTCCCGCGCGACCCAACCCATCTTGACCCTAATGGGTACCCTCAACCCAACCCACCCTAATCCTTTTCCACTGACCCTAATGGATTGCTCGACCCATATTGACCCACTAGTAGATTGGGTGGGTATGGGTGGGTTCCAAGGTGTGTGGGTTGGGGTCAAGATTGCTAGCCCTAGCCATGTCATTGGAGGCTTATATGGCTGTTGCCAACATGAAACTCTTAGTCCATGTTGGATACAACAAAAAACCTATACCAAAAATAGGTTTTCAATTTCTCTTCCACTCCCTCTGTCTCTCAATCTCCCTCCCTTCTCTCTCACTCTCACAGTCATCTTTCGATTTCTTGCTCCCCTGTCTCCCACTCTCTCAGTTTCAGTCTATAGCCAAATCAAAAGCTCTCTTTCCCTCCCTCTCTCTCTCTCTCTATTGTTCTCCCTCTTGGTCAATATCTCATTCTCCCTCAATCTCTATCGTTCTCTAGTTGGTGTAAAATTCATAGCCAAGAGCTTCTTGTGAATTTTTATCAAATTGATGTAATAATATTTTAACCATACCAAGTTGGTCTCATGTTCTTTTATACGATCTCATTAATACCATATACGTGTGTAAGAAAATAAAAAAAAATGAGAGAGGGAGTGGGAGAGAAATTGAGGGAGAATGAGAAATCGACCGAGAAAGAGAATAAGAGAGATTGAGGGAGAATGATAGGTAGAGAGAGAAAATGAGAGAAATTGATATAGAAAATGTAAATATAGAAACTAAAAATCAATTTTATTTATTCTCAAATCACATAGTCGTTGAGCATATAAAAATGACAGTGAGGAGTGTAAGGGAGATTGAGAGAGAGAGGGAGAGAGAGAGAGAGAGAAACTAAAAACCTTTTTTTTTTTTTTTTAATTTTCCAATCACCCAACATTAAATGACAATTTTAGTATATACTTTTTGTTGTGTCCAGCATGGATTAAGAGTCCCATGTTGGCAACAACCACATAAGCCTCCGATGATATGGTAAGGTTTTTATAATTTGAAATGTAGAGCCAGTTGTCAAAGTTTTGTTGGTTTATAGACCAACTTATAGCCTAATTTTAAATTTACAGTCGGCTCTGACTATAATTTTCCCTAATTTGAAACTAATCCAAAAGCGAAGCTATTTTCTTATCTAGATGATGGGTCAATGGTCTAACTTTTCAAAGAAACCTATGATGTCATAATTGAATAATAAATATTTAAATTTATTTTTAATCATATGATATATCTAAAATTCAAATAATTAATATGAAGAAAAATTTCTCACGTACACAAATGTGCTTAATTACTAGTACTAAACAAAATAGCAGAAATCCTATTAAAATTGAAACGATACTAAGTTTTTATTCCATTACAATGTATTCACGTTATTGATTGAATTTACTTGAAGCCCAAAACCATGACTATGATTTGATGGCATATTTTAGAGCACCAGGGATGTGAATGTTCATCAAATAGTCTTCCCACTCAATGCATTTTGTATCAAAACAAAATGTGTTTGCATCAGCAGCATTCTTGAAGGTGGCCATTCGGAGCTTCTCTAAATTTGTATCATCAAAGCTGCATATGTACATACATGACAACAAAAATTACAGTTAATATATCACAGAACCTTTTTTTTTTCATTTCAATCAACATGAATTTCCGAGAGGATTTGAGAGAAATATCAGTTATAGAAATTGCAAGTAGAGAACATGGAGAGAGATACATACATTCCTTTAAAGAATAAGAATGGCTGGTAAAGCTTCATCAGAAACATTAAATATTTGATTTTCCGATTGAGTTCCTTGTATCGGTGTTGGAAATGCCGACAAGATGCTATGTTCAGAACTTGCAAACCCTAAATGAAAAAACAAACAGAAATAAGAATGAGATATTACTTACATGGAAAATCCAAACAATTGATCTGATGTAGGTTTAAACGAAATCGAGCAGCAGATTAAAGATTAATGCCCAATTTAATAAGTAGTACTTTTCATATTTTAACTTGGCATGTTAAATTTTTCTTTGGAAGATATTGAGATTTATATCCTTTATTAAGTTACATGTATAATTTAGCTTGGCATATTAAAAATTTTCTTCATGCTTGATCCTATCCCATCCCATCCAGTTATACATACATATGGACACTTTTTAGAATATTAAGTTGAAGTTTTTTGAGAGTGTCTATTTAAATTTATAGATATATTCTAGTAATATACACATTCATTGATTGAGTATTGAATCAAACTGGTAATCAAATTCAAATCCACATTTTACCTATTTGTTGGATATTAATTTTAATTCAAAAATATCAGATTAGTTCAGAATTACCCATACTCAAATCTTTTCCAACTCATTTGAAGCTTTAGGCAATACAGGGAGCCTTTGTGTACATCTTTGATTCAATGGTTTTGAAAACCAATATAATTTTTGTAAGAAGAAATGATTTAAGCATCCATAATTTGACAATGGATATAGCCAAGGTTTTAAAAATCGATGTGAAACTGGAACTATTCTGGTGGTCATCGGTTTTTGGGTCGATGACTCGATTGTCTGGTTCGAATGGATGGTTCCTTCTAACTTAAAATTTAAAAAATAATTAAAATAAAAAACAGCCAGAAACTGTTGATAGTTGAACTGTCTGGGTCAGAGGGTCGCTGACCAATTCAATAGTTTTTGGCCAAAAAAGGATCGAGTTTAGGGTAAAATGGAACCGATTGCCTAAATGGTTTCTGGGCTGAATAATCCAACCATCAAAGCCGACGGTAGTTTAAAAACACTAGATATAACATTGAACAGAACAGAATGGCGAGACAGAATTCATGATGAAGCCGACCCATATAATTGGGACAAGAGGCTTAGATGATGATTAATATGGTTTTGAGATCTAACCTTCAATGGCAGCATGTATCGCGTAAGCATGTACCACTGCAATGCATGCTTACTGGTTAGAACTGCATACTTGCGAATCTTGATGGGGTTTCCTTTCTTGTCAACGAATGGATTATTGATAGAGAAGTAGCGGTGAACGTATTCATGAACTCTGCTGCCTTTGATGGGATTACTTCTAGAGGAACCCACTTGGTAAATGAACTCTTTGCGCTGATTGGCATGGGCAACCATGGCTGCAACCATGGAATTCACCACCATGTCTCCTGGGATCTGTGAAATCTTGCATCTTATATTGCAATTACTTATTGACAACACTAACAAATTATAAATATATTTGAATAATTTAACATACCAAGTCAACAATCATCTCCAGACCACAAGCCCAGAACGTCATTTTGGCTTTGGCGTATGCAGTCATCATTGCATCAACAGTTCTATAACCCAGAAAAACATTAAGCGATGAAAATGCTTTTTAACATCCGAAGATTATGCAGGAAAGGTTGTATGTTTTAATTGAAAGAGAAGCTAATATAATTCATTAAGGTTGTGTAGATTACCTAAAACCTTCAATCCAACCTGGGAATGGTTCTCTGTAAGTGCTTGTCACAATAGTTGGACGCATGATAACGAGGGGAACATTCTCTCTCATTTGCCCCAGAAGCATCTCACCCATTGCCTTTGTAAACACATAGGTGTTTGGCCACCCATGAAGTCTTGCTCTGACAGAAAGAAAATGAAATGAATTCATTTACATATAAAATAATAGAATGATGGACATAACGCTGTTCAAATTTTGTAAAAAAAATGACAATATCTAGTTATCTACTACCTACCGGGTTTTATGCTCTTTGTTTTGTTTTTTAACTCCTTTTCTTATCCAATCCAATCTGCCCAGCCCAGGTCTAGCCTCGCCAAAGAAAAAGTAGGATGGGCTGAGTCTGGGCTTCAAAACTCAAGGCCCGGATGGCCCATATTTACAAGGTCGAGTTAGAAGATTCATTAAACGAATCCATCCATTTTTGCCAATTCTGTAAAATTCAGCCCAAAGCATTTGGGACATCTGGTAAATCCGGAGTCTCCCCTATGCAGTGGAAGGTATGGATCTGTTACATCAGCATCAGCCCTCCCCGTGGCTGAAAAGATGTAGATTATGTATGCGTTTTGTATTATTTTTGTTTATTAAATAAATGTTTGTATTTGATTTGTTTTTAAAATCGAGAAAAGTATTTGATAGATCGTTTATTGATAATTAGGCATCACATCAGCGGAATAGTGGATAAATGCTCATTCATTGGGGAAGTGCTAAAATGAAACTTCCCGCAACAATATGCTTATAAATCAAAACCCACTTTTATAAAATCACAGACTATACATATTGCTATGACCCCACCTTAGGCCAACAATAAATTGAAGGCCATGATCGATTCATGGTTTAGCCCTAAGTTAAAAACCATATATGGACTCACCAACTACATACTCTACATTGTCCATTGGATTTGCGACATGTTTAATGTAAAACTTAGGATGTGTTATGTAAGATTGTTTGGCCTTTTTGCTCAAAACAAATCGACTACAAGGAGGGTCTACAGCTGATATGGGTTGCTGGTGTGTGGGTGAAAGAGAGAGAGAATATATATACTCAAACTAACCTTTGAAGTCCCAACTGTTTCATTGCAAGTTTCTCTTCATCTTTTGTTGCTCGCTTTGCCCACAGATCCTGCAAACCTTGTTCGACTATCTTTAGCTCTTTCATGATGTCTAAACTCAACTTCCCATTGAGCGTTTCTCCCATTTTAAATGGTTTTTCTAATATGATTCCCGGTTTTTCACCAGCCGCATAAGCTACAAAACCATGCATTCTCTTGGTTTGTCAAAACCCAACCTCATAAATAAAATAATAAATAAAAGGGAGAATGATTGTTCAGTACATTGTAAGAATTCTTAGCCCCACAGTAGAATTAGGGTAGGTGCCATCTTGGAATTAATGACAATACACGGTGGTGTTTTAGGGTGGAGGTATATACAGTATGGTGCAGTATACTTTTCCGTAAATAAAATAAGGAGATAATTAGACTATATTCCACCTTAGAATTCTGAATTAAATTGCAAACCTATAACAATTAAAAATTATAAGCACCACCTATAATACCTATACATGTCTTTGAATTGGCATCAATTCCGACTTGGCACCTAGAGCTAGAATTTCAAAGGGTGGACTGAACAGCAAAAACCCTAAAATCAGAGGAAAGAATAACAACTATAGGTAGGAAGAATTAATTGTGTATTTGTACGAACCAGTTGATACATGTATAAGCGTCTGCAATTTAACACATCCTTTTGCAAAGTCCAAGACATGCTTAGCTCCTAAGACATTGATATTCAGTGCTGTATCATACCTGCAAAAAAGGGAAGAACAAACTTGTTTTCTTCATTTTCTCACTTTTATTATTTAGGCTCTGTTTGCTGTGCTAATTTCAATTAAGATGCTATAAATTTTGGAGTGCAAATAGGCTGAATGTAGATTCTAGTTTTCTTTTTGCTTCAGAAGCCGTCTTATTTGTTTATTGGGAGAAGTAAAATAATATGCAGAAGAAAGGTCATTGTTTGAGTGCATGATGAGGATCAAGATAGGAGGAAGGTGGTGCAAATTTTGCATCAGTATTTTAATTAAAATTTGCACTGCTAATGGGTATGTATATATATACCCAAGTCCCAAATAGAGTCTTAATTAGTTTCTTAAACTAATTTAATGATCCCCAGGCTTTATTAAATTACCTCTCATCAAACTTGGTAGTGGCAGCTGAGTGAACGATGAAGTCGACTTCTCCCCAAATTTCTTCGAGCAAATTAGAATCACTAATCCCCAAGTTCTCCCAAGTGACATCCCCAGCAACCGGAGTCACCTTGTCTGAAATGAAGGAATCCATACATTCACCATGTTTCTGTCTTAGAACCCGAAATAACTCTTTCCCCACAACCTACAATATATAATAAATTCATGAGTTATTATTTACAAATTTCACCTCTCTCTCTCTCTCAAAGTCAAGAACCCCACTTAGGCACTTACCTCATTAGACAGTCGCTCTTGGGCTGACTTGGCATCTGCAACTCTCAAAAGAAGGAAAAGCCTCTTAACATTAGGCTGAATACGTAGCACTTTCTCCACAAACACTACGTACACATGATCAGAAGAAGCAGAGAGTTAATATTTGAAGTTATTAAAACATGCTCTCTGTGTGCCAATGAGAGCATGTGAATAGCAAAATTATTTCTTAGAAAAAGACTGAAACATAATGTTTTGGAGTACTCTTTGCTAGAAAGCCAGTAGAGCCGGTGACTAAGATGGACTTGTTCTCCAGAGAGCAAGCAATTCCAGGTAATTGATCCATTGGAAATTGAAAGAGAACGTAACAGACGAAACCCAAGGCTGAAGAGACTCTATCACTCCTTAGGTATTTGTAGAACTATATGGTGAAAGGATCCTCATTAATGGACGAGCTATAACAGAGAGTAAATGTCAYGTGCGTCGTGATCTAGACTGCTCAGAACCAGAGACATCAAGTTAATATGACAGCAGTCCACAGCATCACTTTTAAAGATATATGGGTGAGAAGCTCCACAACATTTAGTATTTTATTTTGATGCTTTCGGCGTGTACGGATAAGTTTTTTTTTTTTTGCACTCGGATTTCTTACTAACTTTTCCTACCCACCACACTCTATTCGCCGTGAATTGGAGCCACACAATCTCCATTATGAATTGAGAGATGTGTGGCTGCATTTTACGGCGGATAGAGAATGGGTAGGAAAAGTTAATAGGAAATCTGGGCTCTTTTTTTTTGAGGTGGCCACGCGTTACGTTGTCTCTGAACCATCTTTCTCTTCCTTTTCCTTTCTTTTCCTACATTTTTCCTTCAAACCAAACATATCCTTAAGGGTTCATGGTTTGCCCCTTTACTAGGTGTACAGATATTAAGTGCCAACCCCACTTTGACCCAACCCTATTGAGTTAACATGGGATCTACTACCCACAGGATACTATAGCCACACATGCACGGGAACAATTCTTATATTTGTATATCTTCATTCATGGAGAGATGTTCCTGATGTGCAGTTATAATGTCATGTGGGTAGTATGGATAGCATTCTTGGATTTGGGATCTCCTGCCAACAAAATACATTCTAATCCTCCACCAATTTCATCTAACACCCAACATTTCACTGAGACCTGCCATGTATGAGATGTGTGATGTCAGGTTATATTGGTAGGCTGTTGGAATGCATTTTATTGAAGAGGTGAGATGTCCAGTATGAGATCACGTTGAAAGGGTGTTAGAATTTATTTTATTGGCAGGAGATCCAGACTCCATGAAAAGCATGAATAATCAAGGATTTGGGAAGGACACCGGGTCGTGAATTAGATCAACAACCTCAATCCCCATACTCAGAGTATGCACTATGCACACAGTTTTTGCTTCTAGGAAATCGGGTCTCGGAGGTTAGACGGTGTTAGTTCAATGGAATCAAATATGCGCTAATTGAAATGGGGTTGGGGGCTGAAATTTGCCCCCATTAATGGAGGATGCATGAACTGAGAAATTTTCGAAACCCAAATCAATTTGCCATGTGGAAGGTTAGGTTACTCTATGATTGACCTTCTTCAATGAACTTGACTAGCAAACCGTTCATGTGAAAGGCTAGTGGATATGACAAATTTTTGGTTGTGCTGTCTATTAATATGTATAAAATTTATAGACAAAAAGTCAGCTTTGGTATGCCTTAAACTGCAGTGATCTAGGGTGATGCATTTTGCAGATAGTGCTGGAAAGCCCTTTGCATTACCATAAATTGATCGGTGGTAGTATTTTCCAAGAATAACTTGTTACGAGCTTTTCCAATGAAGCAGATGGATCATACTAAACTTTCTTAGACATGATAGGACTTGTTATTTACCAAACTGGTTTTGCATTATACTGTATTATTCTAATGTGATTAGACATGATAACACTTGTTTATTTACCAAACTGGTTTTGCATTGTACTGTATTATTCTGATGTGATAATACATGATAAGACTAGTTATTTACCAAACTGATTTTGTACTATTCTGATGTGATAAGACATGATAAGACTTGTTATTTACCAAACTGGTTTTGCCCCCATTAATGGAGGATGCATGAACTGAGAAATTTTCGAAACCCAAATTAATTTGCCAAGTGGAAGGTTAGGTTACTCTGTGATTGACCTTCTTCGATGAACTTGACTAGCAAACCGTTCATGTGCAAGGCTAGTGGATATGACAAATTTTTGATTGTGCTGTCTATTAATATGTATAAAATTTATAGACAAAAAGTCAGCTTTGGTATGCCTTAAACTGCAGTGATGTAGGGTGATGCAATTTGCAGATAGTGCTGGAAAGCCCTTTGCACTACCATAAATTGATCGGTGGTAGTATTTTCCAAGAATAACTTGTTACGAGCTTTTCCAATGAAGTAGATGGATCATACTAAACTTTCTTAGACATGATAGGACTTGTTATTTCCCAAACTGGTTTTGCATTTTATTGTGCTATTCTGATGTGATAAGACATGATAACACTTGTTATTTACCAAACTGGAGTATTATTCTGATGTGATAATACATGATAAGACTTGTTATTTATCAAACTAATTTTGCATTGTACTGTACGCGTTGTACTGTACTATTCTGATGTGATAAGACATGATAAGACTTGTTATTTACCAAACTGGTTTTGCCCCCATTAATGGAGGATGCATGAACTGAGAAATTTTTCGAAACCCAAATCAATTTGCCAAGTGGAAGGTTATGTTACTCTGTGATTGACCTTCTTTCAAAAAACTTGACTAGCAAACGTCAATCTGCAAGGCTAGTGGATATTGACAAAAAGTCAGCTTTGGTATGCCTGGTTTTGCATTGCACTGTACTATTCTGATGTGATAATGTGAGTCGGTTGGGTTGTAAGTGAATCGGGGTTGAATCCAATTTGAGAACTCCACCAAACCGCTCTTGCATAGTGACATTGGTTTTGCATTGGCTTAGACCTTGATTTCACGTGCAATGTGCCAACATGGTCTGTATATATTCAGGCATGCCCCTGCCTTCGGTATCCACCAAGTCAGTGGGTGTTAGCCTCAGAGGTTATGTAGTTGAGAGGATTTGAGCCAATGCATCAAGTATCTACTTAGAAAAGAGTAGAGTTGGTGGTATAATTAAATAGCGGTTAGATCATTTACACAATTTATTGATGTACGTAGCTGTATTTAAATGCGGCTTGAGGTTTGGGGTTTGAAGCTTCTCCTGCTATAAGGCTGCATTTAACATTGTTGTCTGATATGGGTCATTGTTGTCTGATAATTTTGTTTGGTAAAAAGGATAATATATTACTGAAGAGAAAGAATCAAACAACAGACAACCCCCAACAAATCCTGGGTTACAAGATTAATTTAAACCATCAACAAGTTGTAACATGGTTTTTAAAACCGGTCTGGACCGGATGGTTGGATTGGAAAATCGGAAATCGGTTAAGTGACTGGTTCCGTTTTTCCCTAAAATCGGGTATTTGCAAAAAAAATGTTAATTTGGTCAGTAAATCGTTGACCCGGGTGGTTGAACCTTTCAAACCATTAAATGGCTTTGACCGTTTTTATTTTTATTTGTTTTTTATTTTTTTGTCAGAATGGGCCAACTATTCAGTTTGAATGGTCGGTCCGCTAAAACTGAGAACCGGACCCCTGATTAGTTCGTTCTCTGGGCCCCTGACTGGTTCGATCCTGGACACCAGACCCCTAACCGGTTCAATCGCTCAATCATTTTGGTTGCCCCCACTGTAGCCAAAAGGCTCAACCCAACCTGAGATGACCTGCCTATAAGCAAGCTGGGGTAGAGACAGGCAGCTAGCTAGTATCCATTCTCATGCATGATGGACATTTTCCTAACCCTAGAATGGAATTTGCTTAATTGGCAACACACCCAATTAAGAAATTGAGATAAAGATGTAAGGCCCTTTGGTTTGCAGGAATAGGGGTCTGGAATTGGAATCACAATAGGCTATTCCGGTTCCAACTATTTGGTTGGGCAGAATCGGAATCCCATTCCTATTCCTGCCGGAATAGCATTCCCCCATTTAAGGGAATGGCCATTCCTTGCCCCTCCCTTGGGAATGAAATCTCATTCCTGCTGATTTCAATTCTCATTCTCATTCTTGTCTGAACCAAACAGACAATGGGAATATACCACTTTGATTCTAATTCCGGTTATGAACCAAACTTACCCTACGACTTTTTTTTTTGAAGTTTTTAATTTCACGATGGAACGTGATGGAGCACGACTTGGCGACTCTCACGCGGCAGATGACTCGGATGCCAAATCGGAAGTTTACTCTGTCGGTGGCCGAGCTGAGTCTGGCTGAGCTATATGATTTTGCAAGAGAGAGAGTTAGAGTGTTTGAGGTCTTGAACTAAACTTCTCCCTGCTGAGGTGGTACACCCTACTACAATCGATCCTCCGGTGATCATGTTGATGACCCCTTGGATGAGCCACTCTGGTGGTTGTTGATATCGGGGAGCTTGGTCTCTTTCTTGCTCCTTGTTGGTTTGGGGTGCCTCCCTGCATTGCTCGGTAGGTCGGCTTACTTCTTCTCTCTTGATGAATTGCCTTAGGTACCAACGGCGGATCAATTCTTCGATCTCATCCTTGAGGTTCTTACAGTTCTCTGTATCATGACCAATGTCACAATGGAAATGACAGTATTTATTTGGGTTCGTATTTGTTGGGTCACCCTTCATCTTGGGTGGCCACTTTACATATTCAGCTGATTTAATATGCATTAAAATTTTGCCCCTTTTTTGCATTTAGAGCAGTATAATTTTTATTTTGTACAAGTGGGGTTCTAGATTGTCAGCCTGATCCAGAACTTCGATGAGGAGACTTGATCTTTCTTCTTGCCAACTTGCTTCACCTATTGCAGGGTGACCAACTTCTTTTTGGCGATTTACTCCTTCACCGCGGTTTGCTGCTTCCTACTTCCTCTTCTACTCACTTCCTTTTCCCGAACAACTCTGATCGGGATCCCAATGCATCTTCTGCCTTTAAGAACTTGTTAGCTTCAATGAGGAACCTCTCAATGGAAGTTGGAGGGTTCAACTTGATTTCCAAGCGCAGGTCGGGGTGGCAGACGTTGTTCATTGCCGCGGTGAGTTGTATGGCTGGGTCAAGGTTGGGGATTTGGAGACGCTCCAGGTTGAACCTCTTGATGTATTCGTAGAGTGTCTCATTGGGTCGCTGAACGACATTTAGTAGGCAAGTTACAAATTTGGAGTGCTTTTTGCTGGTGGCGAAGTGAGTGATAAACAGATTGGCGAACTAATCCTAGCTTTTTATGGAGTTGGGGGCCAATCCTAAGTACCACAGCTGAGCTGTATCTCGGAGAGTTGTTGGGAAAGTGATGCATAAACTTGCGTCATTGGCCCTGTGGAGTTGCATTAGGGCCTAGAAGCTGTCAACATGGTCCACAGGGTC